TTAAATCACACGAATGCGATGACGTGTATATCGTATAATTTACAAGTTATTCCGGAATGAAGGCCAAGCTTTCCCGAGGTATGAATGCAAACAACCTATAATACCGCGGAATTTGGGGCAACAACGCGCATCCATCCGGTTCTCCTGTCTGATATGACGTACACGCTATTTTTAGTATTAACAATTTGTAGGGTCGCGAATAACCGCGGCGCGCCATGCAGTAAACATACTTTTAAAAAAAGCAAGAATGAAACTTCTTATTAAGAGAAGCCAGCAAAAAAATCAATGATTGCTTATAGAGTTTTAAATGTGTGAAAAAAAATTTTACAAATATAATAACAAATCAGAACAATATTACCGTAGTATTTATTTTACCAATAATTGTCTCTTTATATGCAATTAATTATATAGGAATTTAATTTTAATTAATTATATAAGAAATAAATCACACATTTATTTCAACTTTCAAACTTTCATTGACATATTGATGTAACGTCGGCGTTTTCTCGTAGAATCCTCCTTTTTCCTTGTCGAAGAATTCTTGTCGAATAGAGAACCGAGACGTCGCCGAGACGGATTGCTCATTGCCGTTCGCGGTAAATCGTTCAATCAGAAAAAATTATGACAGATGAAATTACACGCGGGACACAATATAATATATATGGGACCGTAAAGTGAATCCGCGCGATGATTACCGCGTGCGTGTCCGCGGGAGTGCCAGAACGATCCTCGCGTGCAATTCCGCCGTGCCATTTTCCACGCGTGACATTTATTGCTCGTCGTTTGTCAGACGCACAGGTAACGTAAATCGGCTGGCACGTGGTCTCTCGGCGTTGACGCAAGAGAAGAATTTTCGAGCGATGCCTGTCCGTCGCCGTCACCGTCGCCGTTTGGATTCTCTATTTGAGAGCGATGACCATCCGCGTGGGTTGAAAGCTCTGATGCAGAAACGCGCTCCTTTAACGAAGTGCCGCTATGTTGCGAGCCAATAATAGTCCGCTGGCAATAATTATCTCGCCGGTCTATAAATCTCGATCGCGCTTTTTACGTGTCACGACGCGACCGACGAAAAAAGAAGAGAGATCCGAGATCGTTTTCTTCCAGGAAGACGAGATGTGAGAATCTCGTTGTCGCGTTGATCGGAGGCAATCGGGCGCTAACACTCGTTAGTCGCTTTGAAGTTGAACTCTCTATGTCGAATGGCCACGAGAGAAAGATGCGTCTTTGCGCAACATCCGCTACGTGCCTTTAAAAAAAAAAAAAGCAAAGGCGCGAATCGCTCGAGGATTTTTTAATTCCAAGACGTCCGCCCTCGTACACGCTTCTCGTGTACACAGGTCATAAAAATAAGCAGAGGCAGAATATAAAGCAGGGGGCTCTATACGTTGAACTGTTTATTTTTCCGATATATCCGAGCGCGGATGCCCGAGCGCATTCAGAAATATCTATATGAAAGAAGCGGGAATGCTAACTTTTCAGTGCCTCTTCCCTTGGGACGATCGCGATTCTCTCGAAATGTATCTCTGCGATTCGTGTGGAAATAAATGCACTGTAGCTGCTGCCTCTCGTCCGTCATGGATTAAAAAAGAACTTTCGACGATACCCAGAAATGAAATGGAGGAGAAAGATTATAAATATTTTTTCGACTTTTCGCGAAATTCAAGATCTTGAAAAATATCAAAAGTTTATACGTAACTTTTTTTCGCGCCTAGTCTCTCGCGAAAGGATGATGCGCGAAAGTTTACGCGCGTCATACACGATCGTATACGTTGACGTGAACATTAATATCGTGTTATGTCATTGCGTTTAACGCCGCTTGATAGTCAAACCGCTGTCAGAGTTTAGAGAATGCGTTCCGTATGAATATATGCAAACATCGTCGGTCTTCAGCATAGGCGAATAAAAATTTCGAATTTAACTCCTTCGACGAAATTTACCTCGCTCCACGTTGTAGCCTTTTGGATTTTATTTTAACTTTCAAATTTTATATCAACAGATTTTTTTAATCACGACCGCTTGTGATTTTTTTCAGCAAACGCAAAGAGTAAATAAAAATACAGAAAAAAAAAAATAATATATATATATATATATATATATATATATATATAATATATATATATATATATAATAATACAATAGTAAGTAAACTAGTAGTATAGAAGATACGAAGAAGATACTCAGAGATACTTCGGTTCCCTATACGAAATCTGCTATACTCGTACGGAATCTGATGAATAGTCGGAACCCTTTCTTTTCGAGGAGGAGGGAGACGGTTCGCGGTACGAGAGACAATCGAAGGACAAGCGCGTGACGTACGTAATCTAAGTATACGCGACGTAACCGAGCATTGTGTCATCCGTAGAATCATGGACGGAACGAATGTGTAAAAAAAAAAAAAAAAACCCCGAGAACAGTCAAAGAAACCGCGCATCTCGCGGAAGTAATATCCTCGATGACGTTTCCGGCGTGAAGAAATCACGCTCGGAGAAAGACGTAAGATTAATCCATTTCTATACGATGGCGTGGCGCGAATGCGTGCATCGCGAGTTGACGCGATGCCCGTGGAATTTAATCTATAATTATGATGTAAAGACCGCGCACTCGTCAGCTAATCGTAGACGCGCGTTGCATTTAATCAAGGAGGCCTGCGTCACTCGCACCGCCACGTGCGACTACGCCGCTGATCTCACTCGCTGTCGCTCCAGCATCGAAGAAATATCGCTGAGCACGTCATGATACAAGTGCGGTGAATGGGAACTTGACGATTTTTTTCATAGTGCATATTTTACGCAGTTTATTGATAGAAAATGATCCTAGTAGCTCGACGAATCTTTCTTCTTTAAATTCGACCGCTTGAAAAGTCGGTCACAATAAGGAATAAAAATTGCATTGCTTTTCGTTGACAGTACTCGACAGGCAATCTCAGATTTGACGTCACGATAATCGATATGTTCTTTCATTTTTTTACGTAAAGATCCTCGTAGTAGTCGAGCATCGGTGAGGTTGCAAATCTTTTCCGGTTGACCTACATTTCGGTGACCTACATTTATGTTTTCTTATCGTTTCTTTTCGAGATTACATTGTTTTTGTAAAAATTCAAATCTTTTCACATCTTTACATCATAGGACGGATATAATGAGTCAGGCATTTCAATTTCTTTGCCAAAATTATTATTTTCATTGTCGAATTAATAAATTAATTTAAGACTTAACATTTAATGATAAGAACTATAACGTGGAAAATGGGACAATAGAGTAATTGCGAAAATGGTATTCCTGGAAACGATATGCGCCTTCTTATTCGCGTTTAATGCCGATTAATATTACGGTTCGCATCGCGCGCATTTAGACACGAAGAAGAAGGATTCACGCGAATAATTGTCCGTCCGGATGTCTGGCCGTTGTAGGTGGGCAGGATCAAATCGCGGCTGCAGCATAAATTTGCTGTTAATAGGACTAAACGGGTCAAGAGCGCTTTGTTATGTGGTGTAATGAATGATAATAGCGCTGATAAACGGCCGATTAATCTCGCGCGTTACACGAATTGCATTATCTAACATGCCCTTCAGTTCCGATTTTTGCACACGCCAGATGCCGGGCGACAATAAAATTCGCCAGTGCCGAAAGTCACAATCAATCGATGATTCTTACACGGTGGTCTAGCCAATCAAATAGATAATAGCTTCGCAAAGCAGTAAATTAATTATAAATTAAAATAATTTTTTGATTTAAGTCTTAACTGATACAAATTTTTTTTTATCAGTTAATAAATTGCTGGTATCTGATTATGATTGAAAACAATCTTGACTTTTTATTTTTGATAAACTTCTTATTTAAACGATTTTTAATACATTAGATATTTTCGGTATCCTGAGAAAAAAATTTTTTATCGAAATATGTAGCTAAAAATGGTCTAATGTTAAATTAAAAATCGTTCACACAAAAAATTTATTAAAAAATAAAAGATCAAGATTTTATTCATGATCAGGCAGCAATTAATTGAATGTATTTCGAGGATAACCGATATAAAAAGGAGATATTCTTTCTCTTATGAGTTATAAGTTGATCCTTGGAAGAGGGAATTGGATGCCGGAGGAAAGAATAAAGCAGCTAAAAATATACAATATACTATGATGCTCCCTGCGATGGGACTTTAAATTGACTCTATTTTCAAGGCTGACTTTAAAGTGGACTCGTTGATTTGGAGGCCCTAGAAGCAGCCGTGTATCTTAACCTTGGTAACCTTAGAAATACTCCTGGAGTCGCGCCAGTCCCCGAACCGGCCGGTTAAACGAACTGTCTGTCTCCATCAGTGTGTCAACTCCATTTACATTAAACAGCATCAAGATCCCATCGAGTTTACTTCGCTCACGATTGTTCGAATCTAAGTTTGTATTATTATAACCAGTCTAACCGTTCTGGCAGTTACAGTAGTCGTAGTCTCGCGTCGTCGTTGACGCGTGGCCCGACTGCAATAAAACGAAAATAGCGGCAGAATTTACGGCATGCTATTTCAAGTGCATCGAAATGAACCGCCGTTGCATCGCGGTGCGTGCCAACGTCGCGCTTACGCGGCGATGCGTGATCCGCGGACGTTTATTGGTTACCTAATAACGCGCCGATGACTCGTCCCACGAACTTACATCGCGAAATATATCGAATTATGGGGAGTGACGTAAGTTTGGACCGGGTCCAGAAACCGCTCCCCATGAGAGTTCGGCTCGGCTCACGGGATGAGTCGCGCCGCGCGGCGCGAAGGCCGTTTGCATTTCACTTTACGACTTATTATCGATCAACCCGGCATTCGTAAACACTTCTACCGTGCCCCCTGCCGCTCCTCCTAGAAACGCTGGCTGACCGACTTTCATTATTATTGCTTTATCGCGAGTGACATATCGCACGAATTTGCCTTTCAATGCGCATTGACATCGATAACAGCATCGGCGCGGCGCGGCTCTAAATTATTTTTTTTTTTTCACGTGCACTGATGCAGACTCTGGTCGTTTGTATGAGAGAAAGATCTTAAAATGCAAATCGAGCTCCCTGAGATTACTCACACGATAAATATGATTTGACAAGTGACCTTCTATCGAAGCATCGCTTCAATTTGTTTTTTTATGAGACTATGAATCGAGGGATCTCGTCAGGGATGCATTTCTTATTTGTTAGTCGTGAACTCGGTTAATTTAGACTTCGTAATTTTTAATTAACATTTCCCCGTCTGACGCCCTGAGATATCCCAAGTATGTCGTTATTGTGACCCTCTTGGGGTGCGACGCTGATGTCATGGGACACATCGTTGCGCCTGTATTCTTTTATTCAATTCGTGGTCTCTTAACTCGAATTTTACGATCTTTCGTTTACTTTCGCTTTTACCCTAATTAATATTATTTTCCTCGTTGGACGAGAGAGAGAGAAAGAGAGAGAGAGAGACGAGGCAGGGGTCTCGTCACGGGCTGGAGATCACGTGCGCCCTCGTAATCTTTTTTTATTTAAATTTGTCATTTGGTTGAATTACCGTTTATTGCGCCGAAGGCGACTTGAGGATGCTTTGTGGCGTCTGAGGGAAAGACAGGTCAAACGAGCGACCTACTTGTTTACGCACTCTCGCGCGCGGGGAGGAATTATTTACATTAATTGCTCTTTCCTCAATGAACGTGCTCGTCTTCGCAGAGAGTTCGCAATCGGGGACATTAGATCCTGCGGCCTGTACGTGTACACAAGCGGTTGCCGATGCAGTTCTCGGAAGTATGTAGAACGAAGAACACGTTGGAGTACGCATCGTTGAGTAGAATAATTTTGTGCTTCATGTATTATAGAAATGTTATGTAATTTATGTAAATTCGCGAGCGCGCCGCGTGCAATTTCACAACTAATTTCTAATTAATTTTATTTTTTGTTTACTTTAACGGATTACTCACTGTTTGTTTTATGAAGCGCGATTATTGTTGAAGTCAGGAGCAGGTAAATACTGTATCCATTTTTTTCTCATGTAAAATTATTTCCACGCTTGTTTCCTAAAGAATTCTGTGTTGATTTGTCCGTGCATTTGAATCCAGCGGGGTTTAAATACGCATTCACGCGTATTTAAATTTAGAGTACCGTCAGCTAGAAAATCGGTATCGTTACGCGCGCCTGTCCAGGCTCAGGAAGCTGAAATCACAATTCTCGTTCCAGTCTGGTAAATTTCATTAATATTATAATGCAGCCGATTCGGGTGATACTCGTTTCAAAGTTACGTGATCCGTAATAGAAAATGCATGGACCGATCGCGCGGGCAACACATGTTAAATTTGCTGTCACAAGAAAAACCGGTCGAATCACTGTCGACAAATTGTTTCAAATTTATCATAAATTATTAGGATCTTTAACATCATAAATTATTAGGACCTTCAACACTCGTCTTATCAACTCGAGATAAATTAAATATTAATATATTATTAAATTATATAATTAACTGGTGAATTTAATTAGATAATCTTTATAATTAATATAATATTAATATAATATTGAACTAAAAATAATAAAAAGATAAAAAAATAAAAACAAAAAATTAAATCGCAGAAAATTTGAAACTTAAAAGAATGAAAAAATAAATAATCTCATGAATTTTTAAATAGTTGATTATACGGCTAAATATTGTTCAAGCTAAATTTCCATAGCTCCTTAGTTATTCTGTCGACTTTCATGTAAATATACATGTTGTAAAGTAAAAGAAGACGAGATGTCAAGAGAGATCGAGCGCTTTCTTTGGTAAAATTACGTGAAAACGTTGCTCAAGTCTCTGGAAAGACTTCTGTCATTCTCTTTAGAATGCCTCATGACAGACCGTGTGGCATTCAAACGGCCAACACCTTGAAGTCATTCCAAAGCAGACGGGATGACGCGTCTCGCTGCCGGCCCCAATATTGCAAACTCTTGGCAGCGTTATTGTTGTCAATTGCCAGCTGTTACCAAGCCCTACATACCATTCGTCGAACGGCGTGACAGCTCAGTTTCGACGAATATTAACGATAACACGCGTATAAACGTAAATTCTGACGCTTCGATGTCTGTATTTTTATAAGGAAATTCACGAGTCTTGGAAATATCTCTGACGCGATTCGACCGATGAATCTCCAAGTCCGAAACACCAGGTATTACTTCATGCCAGCGGTGTCTTCGATGCAGCTCGTGCAACGAATCTCGAACACGGCGTGTTGCTTTCATTCACGCGAGATCAAACTACGCGCGGCGTGTTGCTTTCACCCCCATGTAACTCCATGAAAGTCTATACGCGAAATTGTGCCGTTAAAAATTGTACGATGTTGAAAGACTGATTGAAAAATTTCAATTTGAGATTCAAAATAAATTAAATAAAAATACGTCTTGAAATTAAATTATACAATGACTAGCGAAAAGAACGTAAAGAAAATTTTAGTAAAATTTGATATATTTATTATAGAATGGTCTTTTTCAGGATGTGGATCGTACACTGCCAAAATTTAGTGTTCATCGCTTTTGTGTTCTTACCCTCTGTCGTTCATGGTATCCCGGATTATTCTGGATTGCCACCGGGACCATATTGCGAGTCGAGGTATCGTAAAGGCAGTTGCTGCGCAGGACGACAGGATGAATGCAGCGCGCCGATTCTCAAGACGCTGTGTTATTGCGATGATTTTTGTGTTCGGACCCGCGAGGAGGACTGCTGTCCGGATTTCTGGAGCCATTGCAGGAACGAGACGATCCAGGAGTTAAGAAGTGCGTACATTTAAACTATAAATAATTTAGACGTATGATGCACGTAACGTATTTCTGTATCACATCTATATAATTAAACTTACTTCATACATAAAAATGATATGTCTTGCACGATTAAAATTAACAAAGAATTATAATATAATCTTTTTATTAATATAATAAATTATTCTCTTCAAGCTTTGTGTCATTTCAGGATGCTTCTTCCAAGGAAGAGAGTACGATTACGGACAGACGTTAAAAGTTAATTGCAATACCTGGTAATATCTTCTCTTCCTTTTTTAACGTAAACTTTGGAAGTTGCTGAGAGAATAAAAAACATGCAGATCCTGTAAATTTAATTTATATTGCAGTAAATGCTCCTCGGTAGGCAATAGTGCCGAAGTGCTCTGCGAGGAAAATCGATGTTTGATCGAGCCGGAATTGACGGAGGAGATTAATTTGCAAGAATTCACTTTAGGATGGCAAGCGGGAAATTATTCTGAATTCTGGGGAAGAACTCTTCGGGACGGTGTGGAACTTCGTTTGGGTACTCTAAATCCTTCGCAATCCGTAAGTAACTCCCGAGAGTTCAAGATCATGATTTAAAATTATAATTAAAAATCTTATGTAAAATATAAATATAAATATAAATTATGTAAATATAAATATGCAGATATGTAAATGTAAATATAAATTATTATAAAATAAACTCGCTAAAATATTTCTGATAATAAATCTCTGTTATATTTGGATTTGAAAGTAGAATATATTATTTATGAGTGACTTGAGTTATTCAAGAAAGGCTTGAAGCTCCTCTCTCTTAGGTGTACAAAATGAATCCTGTGCGACGTATTTACGATCCGGACGCGCTGCCACGGATGTTCGACTCCAGGACGCGCTGGCCACGCGATATATCCGGAATCCACGATCAAGGATGGTGCGGCGCGTCCTGGGCCGTGTCCACGGCCGATGTCGCGTCCGACAGATTCTCGATCATGAGCAAAGGCGCCGAGAACGTGGAGTTGAGCGCCCAACATCTACTCTCTTGTAACAACAGGGGACAACAAGGCTGCAGAGGCGGTTATCTCGATCGCGCCTGGCTCTTCATGAGGAGATTCGGGTATCTTTCACAGCCTAAGCGATATTAAATGATATTCTCCATTCTTGAGCTCATAATTTTAATTAATACGGTAATAAATAATGTCTAGAGAGATTAACTTATTATTATTTTATTCGATGTTGTATCTAAAAATATGTCTTAAAATTCTTATATTGTGTACTGTGTAGTACTAAAATATGCGTGAATTTCTGTGTTCAGCGCGTGAGTCTGATATATCATTTCTCTGTCGCAGACTGGTAGACGAGGAGTGCTATCCTTGGACCGGTAAGAACAATCAATGCAGACTACGTAAGAGAAGCAACCTAAATGCCGCCGGTTGTCGAAACCCACCAAACCCGCTGAGAACAGAACTGTACAAGGTCGGGCCGGCCTACCGTTTGGGCAATGAGACCGACATTATGCAGGAAATCCTGACCTCTGGACCCGTACAAGGTAGCTCCGCTACAACTCAGACGTTAATCGAAATTCTAAAATGCATGATGACATTTTGAATCGTTCGTTACTCGCGGAGAGGAGGGGCGTCGTAACGTTGTACGATTTTACAAGGATGTTAAAACTCAACGTCCGTCTTTTTAGCTACCATGAAAGTCTATCAGGACTTTTTCGTTTACAAAAGCGGAATATACAGGCACACTCGAAGCGCGGAGTTGCATGATTCCGGTTATCATTCAGTGAGAATAATCGGTTGGGGTGAAGAGCCGCGGTCTTATCGCGGTCCACTCAAGTATTGGGTAAGTTTACGTCGTATCGCATGGTAAACATTAGTATAATTCGAAAGAAAAAAAGAGAAAAAGATTATATCGAATTACAGCTTTTTGAATAGTAACATGCAGATATTTCAACTTTCGTTGCGACCTTATGAGTTCGATGCTTCGATTTAAAATTACGGATAATTAAATTTAACCTCATCTTTCAGCTGGTCGCGAATTCCTGGGGAGAAAACTGGGGAGAGAACGGACTCTTCAAGATCCAAAGGGGAATCAACGAGTGCGAGATCGAGTCATACGTACTGGCGGTGTGGGCCAAGACGGTATAAGAAAGGAGAGAGAACCAGGAAAATACCAAAGTACTAGAAATATCCGATCGTCAGAATTCATTGTTGGTGCATTTATCGAATCTCCGTCGTCGGTCCGTCGTCGTGCGCAATGATGCGATTGCCTCGAGGACGATGAACGATACATCGATCTTCGAAAGTATGTGATCCAGTATCTCCGTACCTGCCTTATTACACGTATTATCGGTAGGAAGGGAGGGAGGGAGAAACAAGGACGGACAGAGCTGTTTATAAATATTTAATATAAGTACGTATAGTCGAAAAAGAGTGTCGTCGTTATTTTCTCATTATTCGTAGATAACAATAATTGTCTGACATAGAAACAGCGCAGGATCGATTCTTCGATGTGTCGCGCAAGAGTCATGTCTCCTCTCATGTAATATCACTCATATGTCGCGGTGACTTCGACGTGTAAGAAGTGCCAAGCGCTAATAAATTTATAAATACGAAATAAATTTTATAAGTACGTAATAGTCTTCTACCACTTCGTTAAACAATGTAATATTTCTAGGAAACAAATATTTCACACAAATTTTAACATCAATCGATCATGTTTTTTTCTTTGAATAAGTTGAACCTTCTTTTATTCTACGTATTCTACCTTAGACACACGTACGTTCGATATGTGTGAGGGATGCTCATAATGCTCCTATGTAATATAAGGTAAATGGCAGTGTAACGGTGTATTGGGACGTGATATTAATTATGTTTTTTTAACAAATCGTCAATCTTTTCATAAAAATACGTTGATATATTTGTGCAAAATGAACACCGTAGTGTTTTTCAATTCTTTCGTATCGCGATCTTTCTACCAAACTTGCCTAAGATTTTATATTAAACACGCACGGTGTGTGATACACGGCATTAGGCACTCGAGGAATGATTGTGCACGCTGCGTCACTAATTAAAAGGAACTCTTTTGCGATGCCTTCACCATTAGACTACAACACTTCGTCTGTTGCTCTTGCAATGGGGACTGTACACTTCTAACTTGTCCCGCGGTGTGTTCATCGCGGAATAATCGATGGGGAATGGTATGGTATTACCGCGAATTATGCAGGAATCTGTCATGCCTAGGAAATGCTCTCCGGGACCGAATGGACCGCGACCGAACAGGAAATTGGCGAACACTAACTGATACTGCGCCCAGCCCAGGGGATGATCTCCATTCTGTAACGAATGTTTTTAGTAATTATTAACAAATCTGAATTTTAACTTTTATAAAAAAAAAATTGTTTATGAAATCTGCTGTATAAGTTAGTTTAACTAACCGAAGTCATAGAATTGTACGCGATATCCAGACATTTGTTTATCCTGTCGGTATCCAGACCGATCACGGATCCGTAAAAGGCTGCGAGCTCCTTCTTACTGATCATCCCGCTTCCGGAACTGTTTATGGCGAGGAAAAATACTCTGGGCATAACTTTGATCCAGAATGGCATATCGTTGTAACTAGCACCGTCCGGCGGTGCGACGATCTGCGCCCACCAGGACAACCAATCGTCGAGATCGACTTTTTTGTTCGGCTCGACGGACTCCTTCTTATCCTGAAGGATCAATCCGGCAAATCCGTTCTCAATTTCCAGAAGTCTCAAATACTCCGGGCCGTTCCACGACCAATCGGCGAATCTTCTCAAACGCTTTTCAAATAAAAAAAAACATATTATTTATATTATATAAGTTGCCTTCTTTGCTTTAGTTCTGTATATATATAGTTATAAATCAACAATAAAATTCTTGACATATGTCAGTTCTAATACATAAGTTTTTATCACTTTATTATTTTTATTATTTTGGCAAGTATTGTAAACTATCTTTTTTCTTTTTATCGAAATATAAAAAAGCGAAAAAAAAACTGAGTATTTTTAAATTTTTGAAAGCAGAATCTACCTCAGAGAGCAATGCAAAATCCTTCCTGTTGATGTAACCATCCCTATCGTGGTCTAAGAGATATGTAAAAAAGTGAGAGAATTTATCACGTTGAAGGGGTGATAAAGCTTCCGAGCTTCCGCTTTTACCAAACTCATTAATGGCAGATAGATTGTCGTCACTCGGATAGCGGCTCACCCAGGTCGCTGTGTCAATCA